GAATATAATATACAAGTTTCACTTTTTAAATGGAATTACTGAAATAAATCTACTTTTTCATGATGTTCTAATTTTATGGCCAGCACCATATATGTTTGTTTATTTGTTTATTTATTTAGAGACACAATTATTGAAAATGTGGTTGAATTAAACTACAGTATTTATAAGCTTATCCTATTCTGCTTTGTTGAATCTTTTTATGAATGCCTGCCATTGCTGAGACTAGCCCAATATTACACTGATAAAAATGTTCTTTTATTTCGATGGTTCGGTAAAAACCTGCCCTCCTGATTTGTTTGCAAACATGCACATCTGTAACGGCGACAAAAAGGTGTAACGCAATTTCAAAAACATGTCAAAAGACCAACCAGACAAGCCTGGAATCCGTTGGAACCGGTTCAGACGTCCCACAGTGGAAAATGTCATTTAGCACTTTTTCAGCACATTGGAGCAGGTGTGGCTCGGGACGCTTAGTGCAATCTACTCAAGATGACTTTGGCTCTGATTGGTTGAAAATAAGAGTGCTGCTCTGATTTGGGTTTCCACAGCTAATATTAGTCATTTGTGTGGCGCAGGGCAATTAGCAACAACTATGGTATAAACGAAATGGGAGCAGGTCATCTCACTGCAAACAAACTCGCTTTACGTCATCTCACTGCACAATATGTCAGGTCCAGAAGTTTATTTTTTAAGTGTTTTACACGTTTAACAGTAAAATGTTATAGTTTGACGAATGATTCATATTAACTGCTTTATTGTTATTAGAGTGAAGGTTTAGGGTTATACATTATCTTATATTATCCTATATAGACATATGTACCTATATAAATATGGCTAAAAATGGTAAACAGTGCACAGAGTTATCACCTTTTGGATCACAGTGCAATAAGTTAGTGTTAAAAGCAAATATAGAAAATAGCGTTTCATGAAGGAATGCCTATCATCTTGCATGCCAAATTTAAAACAAATATTTAGTGCACTCTGTTAGCACTCATGTGTTTGGGATGACCGTCAGCTACTAACATATCAAATTTTAGTGTAACTTTTCTTAAATTAACAGTAACAGCCTTTGAACTATTTTGAATCTGGTTGACTCTAAAATCAGTTTTAGAAGTAACTCAAGGCATTACTTTCAATATTTTTAATTGAATCGGCCCAATGTTTCATGAAATATTTTGCTGACAGGCAAACACGTGCACATGGGATTATGTTTTCCCATCTTCCCATCATCAAGTAAAATCACATTGCATCCCAGACTGCTTTTAGAAGCCTTTTTATTATTTTAGATACTTTCTGTCTCATTCATAGAGCCGTGCACAATACATTTTCATTGCATATTTGCTAAAAAAAATTATTTTTATTGTTAAATATGATAAAAAAGCATTTTTTTACTATATAAAAGTTCATTTTTAACAGTGGGGAAAGCAGGTAAACATTGAGGGAGAGCTTTCAGTGGAACCGATTTATCCACAACATTCAGACAATCTTTTCTGAGGACTGAGTCATTCCTTTTAGCGGTTTTCTATACTGGAAGTTATTGTTTGATTACCTGAAAGGATCCCAGACCCAGTTCGATGTAAAGTCTGGCTGCTACGCCCGTGTTCTCCGGCAGGAAGGCAAATACAGTGTAGTGCATCCCAAACAGTGGGATGAGGAACAGCGTGGACTTGGCCAGCCTCCTACAGAAAAAAGGAAAGTAATGCAAGGAAGGAGAATCGACATCCGTATAAATAATGATGTAACATCTGTTTCAAATCTGAAATGTTACAGTGAGTGCACTCAATCCAGCCCAGTTTCAGCTCTATTACGTGGAAAATTTGCACAACAGAGACAAAAAAAAAACCAACAAAGTAAATCATTCAGTTTTCATCAAGACTGAACTACTGGTGTCAAATTCTAGTGACCTTTCTAGCTGGCAGCTCTATCATTAGGCCAATCAGCAGGAGAGATGAAAAATGTCATCATAGAAAACCCAGACTGCATTGTGCACAAAACTCCAAATCACATCACTGATGTATGAAAATCATGTAAATGTTGCTTTTTTGTTTTGGAGCAAATTCCCACAAATCATGAAGCTTAGAAAGAGCTAATCAAGTGCTGTTTTAAAAGGAGACATATGCTTTTAAATCCTACTTTTTCTCATTTAAATCATTCATTTGGGGTTTATGCGATGTGGAACTGCAATGCTTTGGTCTGAGTTCTTCTTGTTGTAACTCCACAACTCTTTCACCCCTTTTCTGAGGTGTGTTTCAGATCAACTCGTTTTGATGCTGTCTCTTTAAAAAAAGAAAAAGATAATCTAAATTTACTTTGCTTTGATTTTATATCATTCCAATGAGAACCGTCTTGTTTTGAAAAGATCCAGTTTCTCAAAAATCAATAAGTGGCAGGTCTAACTGCTAACAGAAAAGTCTGAATGGTTTATTTGTTCTACTACAATTAGCTTACACTCACAGCCGTCTTAATCGTCCATTTTCCCAAATCAGACATGACGTCACTGTGGATTACCAGATTAAAAAAAGCCATCAGGGTTTTTCATGTCTGTAACAGGATTGTAATTTTCTTTAGCCACACTTGGAGTTGGTGTCGTCGCGTGTCTGCGCCACAGATCTGCCTGAATCAAAGTAAAGTTTCCTCGGCTGATGCTGAGCTTCTAAACGTGTGAAACATCCACAGACTCAGTGGAACCGCTGTCACACGGTGATGAAGGAAACATCTATTTCTGGAATCTGATTCTATTTATATTTGCTCTCGTTTGAAACTGATTCAGCTCAGTGCAAATCTGCAGCAGCAATAATTCATTCATGTGGAGCAAGAAACACACGGTTTCAGCAGCTGATGGAAACATCAGACTCAAGATTTGATGCAATTATTTTACAACCTTAATTTTTAGGTATATAATTGTCCTACTTTTTAGTTGTTGTTTTTTTTTAATTATTCTTTTACCTGAATGTTTGTACTCGGAACAATTTGAGTTCAATTTAGCATTTAGTAGTTTGCAACAATTTTCTTGTGTATTTTTAGTTGTTTATCTTGGCTGCTGGGCCTGTTTTTATTTATTTATTGCGTTCCGATCATCCCTAAATAATCTGATCATTTATATTCTTCATCTTTCATCATTTCCTTGAGGGAAATGTTTAAACCTTGCGGTGAACTTGAGCGAGTCACTGAGGGATCGTTTTGTGAGTTCAAGTCCCATACTAACTAACTGCAGCTCCTTTCTCCCCTCACTTCAAAGTCAGTTAATTTATTCACTGTTTGCTTATACCTGCTAAAAAAAACATCTCAACTCATGCAGGAAATAGGAAAGCATTTACACCCTGACACTTCCTCCAAAGATCTACCTGTCATTTTTAAACACGTTTTTTAAAAAGATGTGCAAAAGCTTTAGAAACCCTAGAAAATTTAGATTAAAATCTTCTTTGGTTCCTTATTTTTTTCTTTATTTTTTTCCTTTTTTATTTTGTTTTGTTTTATTTACTTTTTCTTTTGCTTACTTACATGAAATGTCCAGTGTCATTATTCCCAGCCATGGCTGAAGATTTAAGCTTCTGAACCAGAATCCGGATAACATTAACAAAGATCACTATGTTGATCTGGTGGATAAAAAACATCATCAGTCATCAGAATTTAAATCATTAAATCTAAATACAATAATCAAACAAAAAGTAAAGAACAACATATCTGTCTTTGGATTTAGTTTTAAAAATCAGTTCCATCAGAAAAAGTTTTTTTTTTTTTCATATATGAGCCATAAGCAGAAACTGAGATGGCTCCTCGAGCTGTTGTGATGTGTTCAACATCAAAGGTGAAACGTGGAAACCTCATTTTAGCAAAAGAAAAAAAGGACAACCACCTACTGTGTTTATTTGTCCTGCTATTATATCAGCTAATGTATCACTTCAAACTAAACGTATTTTCACTCAGCTTAAATTCTATGAAAACAAGAGTAAAACTAAAAAAGTATGGAAACTTTACATATTTATATTTTTTAAGATAGATTTCAAACTTGATTCGTCTTGCACAAAATTACACAGCAGAGCTTTCCAACTGATGGCCCACGGGCCACATCTGACCTGTGGGCAACTTCCGTCTGGCTCACAAATGAGCTCCCCTCAAAAAAAAAAAAACATTAAAATTTTTGAATTCACGGTTCAAGCCTGGTAAAAACCAGACGCTTGTCCTTCACTTTGCTTTGTACGAGGGTCTGGACTCGCAGTTATATAGAAGCAATTCTTGCTGGAGGCGTGGCCTCTGCTGAAGTGTCGCTGTGAAGGAGGCTAAGCTAAGAAGCTAACCAGAAATCGTGTGCGCTGTAAACAACCCTACTGAGAGGAGAAAAGTACCAAGCCGAACGAGGCAGCTGCAAATGAGAGCTGCTGCTTTGTCAGACAAATTTATTTTAATTTGGAAGCCTTATCAACACAGACTGCCGTATGCTAAACTAACCAGCAGACACTGCGCAGAAAATCGTCATTGTTCAAAACTCCGCTTTCTGTTTGCTGATTGGCCCAGGTAAAATAAACTACAAGCAGACACTGCACAGAAAACCAACGTTCTGTTCTCTGATTGGTTCGGCTAAAAATCTGCCAGCAAAATCCTTGTCTATGGGAGAAATACCAGATGGAGCAATGAAGGGAAACTAGAATTGAGCGGAGCTGTAAGGTAAGGGCCAGGCTAGGTTCAATGCAAGACAATAAGCAAATGTTAAAGGGAGAAAGTAGCGGTGCAACGATACAGAAAATCCACAATTCAGTTTGATACTTACGGTTTGATTTTTTTCAACACAAAAAGAGAAATGTCCATGCCCTTCTTAACTTGTAAAATATTGAAATTACTTATGAACATTTGTTTAACCTCAAAAGTACAGTTTTTAAATTAAACATTGCTGAAGCAGCAAGTTTCTCAGTGGATCTGCACTCAACATACAGCCCAGGGGGAGTAGTTGAACACAGATCCACTGATCCTTCAACACAGAGCATCTTCAGAAGACAAGTTGATAAAATAAATTTTAAAAATCTGTATTGTTTGATACAAGTATGTATTGAACCTAAAGCACTGTATTGAACAGTTTGATGCAGATGTGCATTGTTGCACTTCTAGTAAAAGATAATAATAATTATTTACATAATGTAGTGTTCCCTCTGTCATTATCAGGCAACCTTTGTAAAATGAGTAGAAAGCTCTATTATTAAACCAAAACTGAGCCAGTGTTATAAAACCATTATATTTTGTGTTGTGGACCAATGTAACTCCTACATGAGATGAAGTTGTTCCTTCATGTGTGCAAATTTTGTGCATGAAGCTTGTTGTGGACTAATTATTCTATATCACCTTGACACTGACCATTGTTCATATCTTTTGATGTCCTCCATCTTCCCGCGACAAAGCTATAAAAAGGGATATTTTAAAAAAAGCTTTGACAGGTGTGGTGCTACAGTGATGGCTTTCTCTGTCTGATACTATTGAATTTATTATAAAAAAAACTAACTTCAAATATGTGCGGGGAAAAGGCCAATTAAACAGCCAGCAACCGTTTCACAGCTCTCTTCTCACCAGCAGTGATGCTGTTATCGGTCCTTTAATGATCCACCAAATACCAACATTGTCGGTGTCGTCCCAGCAGCTGCAGCCAAAGACGAAAAGATTCTGTTAAGTGCGACACAAGCAGCATGCAACAAGGAAGTGCTAGTAATAAAATACATCATACCTTCTGTTGTCAAAGAAATATCTGGTCAGAACCCAAAGGATGAGAACTGCTGACGGCAGGCCTATAATGGGGGGGGGGGGATCAATTATGCATGCTTGATCTGTTACAGGCAAAGCAATCATCTGAACCCAAATAATCTGTTTTTTATGTAAAGGATTGTTGGGGTTTATAACGTTGTGTTCGTGCTGCGCTTTAGATTTATCTGTGTCTTATTTGCATCCCTGTGCCAAAGGGGGAAAAGTAGACAAAAAGACGAACAAATAAATGCAGAAAATGAAGCTGTTTTTTTAAATAGATCATTAGAGACCAACAAACAAATCCTCCCTGAGTTGATGCCAGTTAGAAATCATTGACAAATAAAACTAATATAGCCAGCAAAGGTGCTGCTCATTGGGTATTTTTTATAAAAGTTTTTTAAGCCACTTCAGAAAGCAGAACTGAATATTAGTTTCTTATTTTCTTCATCATCAGTGACTTTTTTGATGAACTGATCCTAACTGGTTACACTGCAAAACACTACACTGGCATATTGGTGTCCAACCTCATCCTATGCCTGAAGGTTGTGCTGTTGTTATAATGTTTACTGTACATTGCCTATATATTATCTACATTGTATATGTTTATTACCTCCACCAAGGAGGTTATGCTTTCAGTCGTGTATTTCTGTCTGTGGACAAAATTACTCAACAACTCATGGATGGATTTTCATGAATTTTTTTTACCACAGGTGGGTGTTGGCCAAAGGAACACACCTTTAATTTTTTATGATGATCCGGTGCTGCTTATTTGGGTATTTTTGAAAAAATAAGCTTGGAGTGAAAGAGAAAATGAAGAACTAGAATATTTGTTTTGTGTCATTTTGAGGAGGCCTAAATGCTTGTTTAAAAAAAATAAAGTGTGCAAAAGGACAAGGAAATTATCAAGTTGAATATTCCAAAATAAGAGTTGTTTATTTTATTCTCAGTCAGAAACACTTCTTGCTTCTTACTGCATCAAAAGACGTCATAAAACATGAGTCTATATTCTCACAACGAGGTCCAATCCTGGTCCTCGAGGACCACTATCCTGCATGTTTTCGAGGTTTCTCTGCTCCCACACTCCTGATGAATGGATGATTAACAGGCGTCTGCAGAACACAAGGAGGTAATTCAATCACAGAATCAGGTGTGTTGGAGGGAAACAAGTGCAGGACCAGGATTATTGGACCCCCTCATATAGAACAATAAATCTGATTCATGGCAGACGACTCACAATCTGGTTAGAGCTTATTTATTGTTTCTACAACCTGCTTGCACAGGGACAGCTTTCTTTAACACAACAGTCCTAAAAAGAGACAAGTATGTACTTTTTGAAGTAACTGCAAAAATAATAAGCCAAATACTTATTGCAGATTTTTCTTGTCATGCCTGTCATGCTCCTCTGCAGTGAGCAGGGCTTTATTTTCTTAATTGGCTCCACTGGCTGCATCTGTGAAGGTGTTATTATAAAACATGCTTGGTCAGTCAGATCATCACTTATAGCACTTTTTTTTCTTTTCTTAATTTTTTTAGCTTTTTCTTTTGTCTAAATGTTTAAAATTGCTTGGTTGTTTTCATAATCTCATATTTTTTCTACATTTTTGCATTAAGTATTGGATTTGTCGCAATATTCGTCATTTTAGTCTGACATAGTTGTAGAAATATTTGTTTTAAAGGGATCCATGATTAGTTGTAACATTAGACTTTATTTGATAAACATTTATTTTAACTGTAAAATAAGGACTGTAAAAATACTGTAGGCTGTTTAGTTTTTATAATTTTTAAACTAAAAGTTTAAAAATCTATTACACGGACAGGGCCATTTTATTTACATGCAAAGCATTCTGGGTAAATGATGACGTGGATAGGTCATCCGTGCGAGGCTGCTAGCGAGCTATATCCACCCTGAAGGTTAATCTTGGACAATATCTGACGATTGGCTCTTTTAAATGAAACCAGAGAGCGTTGACAGAGAGGAGAAGGTAGAAATGACTCAGCCTGTAACTGAAAATATAGATGGAGGACAACAGAGCTGCTTCATGGAAGAAGAACCTCATCTTAGCCTGTTAGCTTTAGCCCCGATGCTATCACCATATATATGTATTAGCTCAGCGCTACACATTCTCCTCTCATCACTGAGGTCCTCCATCCACATGACAGAGAGGGGAACACAAAAATGACTCAGCTGCAACTGAAAATATGGGTGGAGAACCTCAGTTTAGCGCCGAGCTAATACATATAAGGCAATACAGAATTGGTGCTAGCACAAAGGCTAACAACAGGCTAAGCTGAGGTTCTTCTTCCATGAAGCAGCTCTGTTGTCCTCCATCCATATTTTCAGTTACAGGCTGAGTCATTTCTACCTTCTCCTCTCTGTCAACGCTCTCTGGTTTCATTTAAAAGAGTCGATCATCAGATATTGTCCAAGATTAACCTTCAGGGTGGCTATAGCTCGCTCACACCGAAGACCTATCCACGTCATCATTTACCCAGAATTCTTTGCGTGTAAATAAAATGGTTCCGTTCGTGTTAAAATATATTTTTAAAAATTTACAAAACTAAACAGCGTACAGTATTTGTACAGTCTTTATTTTACAGTTAAAATAAATGTTTATCAAATAAAGTTTAATGTTACAACTAATCGTGGATCCATTTAAGAAGAAAAAAGAAGTCGCAGCAAATTTGCACATTGAGTATTTCTTAAAGTCACCATTTTGGCTACAAATTTCATTTCCAACATGAACTGACAGACAAAAGCACTTCCTTTCCTCCTCCTCCTCCTCCTGTCACGGCAGCTGAGTAGAAGTTATAAACTCAGTCCTTCCTGTTGCAGTCGCCGGCGTGCTTGTGTAGTCCTTTTGCACGGTGCAGTATTTCCAACTGTTGCACTAAAGCTGCTTACCGACCCACCTGAGTTTGAAGCATTGTGTCAATCTGAATGCATGGAAGCCAGCCATTCCTGATTTAGAGCCTAGCTTGTATATCCCTGAGGGTCTGATCAGAAAGACGGGGAATAAATTCAGCATCCTTCCTGCTGCCACACTTCATCACATCTCACAAGAGGTTCCAGCTAACTCCTTGTTAAAACAGATCCCCACCACAGAGTTTGAAAGCAGCACTTGCTGTGCATCACATTGACTAGTTCATTCTTACGCTACATGACTCAAGTAGAATACGCTCAGGTTAACCTCCAAAGACTTTACCCATTGTCGTTTCTGATGCTGTAAAGTTTATCTTATTTATTTTAAAGCCAAAGTTTAAAAAAATACTTGTTTTCTATCCACACAACATCTGAGCAGATTTTTCAGTATTTCTCCTCCTCAGCCCAGCACTAATCTGAGCTGGTGGCTGTCTGCTCAGCTCAGTGTGTCTGCTCTGTAGCCTGTCGGTAGCAGAACAAACGAGGCGAATGGGAGCTGTAGAGTTGTGGTAACACCGTTGAGAATAACGGCTTGAGTAGTAAACTATACAGAGCAGAAATACAGTACAATGGCAAAAGGGAGGCCATGAAAACTAGTTGACTGAGAAAAACACAAAGAGGAAAAGCACTTGCAACATCTGCACACACACGTGTTTAAACAAGGAAGAGAAAGGGAAATAAGAGAATGTGTTGCTAAGGCTGAGGCTGTGCCATCTTGTGATCCTCTTCTTATCCAGATTTTGAGAGAAATTTATTGTCTGGAAATAGACTCAGACAGCGGCCACTAACACCAGAACTTAAAGCCAGAAAAGAATTTCAGCAGTTTTACTGTGTTTATGTTACAGATGTAAGGTATCCGAAGAAAAAAGTAAGAATTCCAACTTTGATCTTAGAAGCAGAGTTTTTTTTTCAGATAATTCCAACTTTTATCTCAGAATTCTAAAAGAAAGTCAGAATTTTGGCTATTTTTCTAATTCTGAGGAGGAAGAAGCCTCAGTCGTCTTCCGCATGTGTGTAATGCATTTAAGAATCAATAAAGATCAATAAAAGACCTCTCATCTTGCTGCCTTACATGCCAAAGTTTTAAACCAAGATCATGCACAATCTTGTTGTTCGGTGTATTAATTAGAGATAACTCTCAGATTATATCACACCCAAGTTTATCTCAATGCTAAATGTCAGTTTTGTGGAAATGCATTCCTAATAGACTCACTCACCCCATCCAATCAAAATGTACCACCAGAAGTATTTCCTCTGCGAGACAAAAGTGAGGGCCAGCAGGGTCTGCAGGTACATGCCCTCCACCAGTAACCAGAAGTAATTGGCCAAGATGCTGAACTGGAAGAAAGCCACAGCTGACTTACATGCAACCTAAAGAGGAAAAAGTGGCAGAACGTTTCAGTTAATCTGTCCTTCATTGGTACAAAGGAGTGAATAATCAGTATCTTCAGAAAACTACCTCTAAGGTTTAGTTTTGGTTGTTTTTTTTTAAGATAGCTGTAGTTGTTGATACTCAAACACCAAATAATGGAATGGTGAGAGATGTCCTGCAAAAGCTTGGCTAAATTTACTGTGGCTTAGGGTTAGTCGTTGGGATTAGGGTTAGCTAAAATTAGGGCAAAAACCAAGAACGATGCTTTCTCAAAGATTTCCATACACACCCAAAACAGACAAATAAAATAGTTTAAATTGCTCACAAATAACTGAACTTAGTCACAAAAATAAATAAAAAGCTGTTATGTTTCTGTAGGGGAAAAAAACTCAAAATCAATGATACTAAACTTTTTTATATATTTTTCAACTTGTGTTAAAAGTACTTAGAAAAATGATTTTGTCCTCTGAGACCGATCACCAGTTTCTGTCTTCACAACTTTAATATTTCCTTCCTCTGTTATTGTTCCTAAGAGAGATAATTTAAGTAACTTGGCAGACTTACTGTGGACACAGAGCAGTGGTCCAGAGTTTCGTCTGCAAACAGCACCGTGTCTTTCACAAAGACAGCGCTGGCTCTCAGGACGAACGAGGAGAAAAGGTTGATGTGGATGTAGTTTCTGGTGCAGCGGAACTTCCTGTGGAAAAGAAAAGCTGTTTTATTGCAGTGTGCATGCAAATTAAACTTTATAGAGAAGTCAAACAACTGCATCACTTGGACAATTCATAGTCCTTTTCTTTAATTATCTGCAGGTCATTAATAAAGAGCAGGAAATATGTTATGTCAGTATAAAAAACAGGTACTTTCTTTGCATTTGGTCAAACAGCATTATAGTGTTTTACCCACCTGTGAGAGTGTGTGCTGTGGTGGTCTTACCTGAAGGCTGTAAACACCACGATGGCTGTGATGAGGGAGATGAGTGAGGTGGCGTACCCCACAGTGTAAACCTGTCTGAACGTGTAGAGGTAACTTGTCTGGAAACAGGGAGTTCCAAACAGACATATAAACAACAAAAACAATTATTTACAAATTCAGCATAGTCACATTTGTAATGTGATTTGTTTCATTTAAATCAGACGGCACTCTTCGCCTAATTGTCAACATTTATGCTCGGAACAAACAACCAATTGAATTCATTGGCACTGTTACATAAAACATGTGTGCACCTCAGATTCCGGCTCACTGTCATCACTGAAAAGACAGGCCTCCTCATAGGGGGGATACATTTCAGACCAGCCGTCAGCCGTGCAGTTTCTGTACACAAACCCTGACGTGAGAGCAGAGGAGGGGGAGGAAAGTCAGCAATGTCATCACTGAATCACTAAAAGTGTCAAATCTGGACTGAACCTTTGAAAACCTGTTTGTCTTTGCACACAGATTGTTCATTGTTTATAAGTCTTATCCAAATTTCATCGTCACAGAAATATATAATGTACCTTTTTATTTACAAAAAAATGTGTCAAGTTTTCTTCTTTTCTAACTTGGTTTTCAGGATAATGTGGCTCACTCTTCTATTAATTTTAGTTCATTTCAAATGTATAAAAAATAGCAAATAAGTAGATACCGCATGGTGGTAACATAATGACCCCTGCACGCACAAATGCACCAGAACTCAGTAGTCTTTATACCTAATAAATGTTAAGCTACTAGGTGCATCCCAAAATTGTAGTGGCTTGGGTGGGGGTCTTTTTTTTGGGGGGGTGGCATTGGTTGACCTGATGGATAGCCCCTCATCAGAGCTAAACAGCAAAAGAAAATCTGAAGCTCCTGTGTTTAATAGTTTTTGAGCAATAACCCTTTTTCTATGTCCAGACACCCCTTTCTCAGATAAATTGGAGGTCCGGGGGGCACTGATTGGTGGGCCTGATGGATAGAGCTTCATCAGAGCTAAACAACTAAAGAAATCTGAAGCTTCTATGTTGAACAGTTTCGGAGTTAAAAGCATTTTTGCATGTTCAGACACCCCCTCTTTGAAAGGAGCCCCCTCCTCAAATATGGGGTCTATCGTAAAACCGTTGGCTGGCACAGTGTAGGTCGGACTCATCTACATTCCTGCCAAATTTCATGTTGATTGGTGCAGCCGTTTTTGTGCCACGGTTGATCAAAATCACTGAAAAAAAAACGGAATGAAAACAATATGACTCCCGCTTACGCTTCACGTGCGGGGGTCATAACAATATAAGATAACAAAATTAAACATATTTAAATAGTAAAAACTTATTTATTCCTTCTTTTTTTCCAAAACATACTATAAATAATATATCTGTATGTCATTTTTCTAACATTTTGTTTACATAACGTGTTTTGGAGAAATTGTCTGATTTTAGTGACGGTTTTGTTACTAAAAATTTCTAAAGATCGGAGAGCAGGGACACTCCCACGGTTTGGAGTTTGTTGCTGAGGGAGACTTTTGTTTTTCCTCTCAAATTGTTTTGTGCATTTTAATACTTTTTGTTTGTCAACTGTATGTGTGTCGTCTGGTGAATCAATATTTCAGATTTGTTTTGAGTCAGAGAGTGGCTTTGATCCAAAAAGACAAAAGAACTTCGATTTATAACGAGCGGGAAATTCAAAATGCAGGAAATTGGATTTCAGAGGTAAATTATATTTCCTTACTTACAATATCGATGCTCTAAAGTACGCAGCAGTTGCTGTTTTCAAGGCATCGTTGTAAAGAACGTGTGAGCTATAAAGCTCTGCAAAAATACAGTCTACATCTGCAAAGAATCGAAGGTGTGCTGCAAAAAAATGGACTAAATGTTGCTTTCATTGATTGTTATTCTCACAGCTCAAACATTCTTTAAGTGTAAAAACTGTACATCACAAAGAAGACAAAACTTTAGTTTGTAATATTTACTTTTTTTCTGTCTAACCATGCTCTAGCTCAGGGAAAATCAATTCCGGTCCTCAAGGTCCGCAGCCCTGCGTGTTTTACTTTTTATCCCTTCTCTAACACATCTGACTCAGTCAGTGAATTACCTCTTCCTCCAAGTTCTGCAGAAGCCCGAAAATCATCCATTCATTCAAATCAGGTGTGTTGGAGAAGAGAAGCAAGTAAAATGTGCAGGGCTGCGGACCTCGAGGACCGGAACTGACTGTCTAGCTGATGCTTCTGACCAACCTAATGTTAGTTTTATGCTCATCAGAAACCCTGAATGTCTGAAGTTAATTGAGGCCATGGAGTTTGTTCAAAAGAAATCCTTTTGAAGAATTTAGAAACTGAAAAAAACAACTGAAACTATAAAAAAAAAACACAGAAAAAGATTGAAACTGAAAATCAATTTTGAAACAAAAAAAAAAGTTAGATTCTCTGGCTTCTTTAGTTTCAAAACTTTATTTTTTTCCCCAAACTGTTTCTTCCGATTTTTGTTTATTTATTTATTTATTTATTTATTTATTTATTTATTTATTTTTGGACCATACTTTATGGCCACATTTTAGCTCCACACAATTCTTATGCAGTAAACTGGTGTGAAGAAAGTTAGCATCCCTGTGCGCTCTGTGAACATGATGCCTTTGGACTGCTGCAGTGCCGTTTCTTGCTTTTAGACCAGTTTAGTCCATTAGTGCTGTCTGTCACAGAACATTTGATGCTTTCATGTTCGTTCAAGTCCACCGACGCCAGCTTAGCATCCATTTAGAGACAGAAGGCATCAGGGGAAGGTCGTCAGCTGGATCTGTCCCTGCAAAACTCTGGGACTGGTTATCAACGTGTGTGCTGCAGATTATAGCAAGCACGGGTGTTAGCTGGGGCTGCTTGAAGAAAGACAAAGGAAACAGCATAGCAGGAGGCCTCTTTCTTCTTTCTTTTTAGAGAAATAAGAAGCAGCAGGAGTCCAATATTGAGAACTAAATCGCATCTGCAATTCAATGTGATGCACAGGTTTTATCTCAAAGAGGAAAGAACATTGCTTTCCTGATGATCCTGACCTTAACTCACGTAATCATCATAGAATACTAACACAGCAGAGCAGATATGTTTTATAATATCTAGAAAACAGAAATTTCCAGGTTTGAGAAATAGGTTACTGCAGAAAGAAAATACTTTTTGCATAAGAATTTAGACCAAAAAAACTTGTATATTAAAGTGCAACTGTGCACAAACCTGTGTAAGCTCTGATTATGTAAAGATGTCATCTAAAAGTCTGAGAGAGTGTCAGATCACTCAACCCCAAAGACAAGTTTTCAACTTAACTTCTGCTGCCAGAAACATCCCAGGGCATGCCTATGTTCTCACCAACAAACAGCCATGAATAATTCAAGTGGTGATTCTCCTTCAGTGCCTTCGCTCTGCATTAGTGCTTTAATTATAAGATTTACAGATAATAAAACTTAGCAGCGCGAAGAAGGAAAACAGATTCCAAACCGTCTCCTCTGCATTTTATTGAGCGCGTCGATTCCATTATCGACTTTCGTTTGACTTGGATTGATGCGACGGCTGTCGAAGGAACCTACCCTGGTTGCTGGAAAAATGCTGGAAGACCTCGGAGCAGGATAAGTTCACCACTTGCCCGACTTCAGCCCTCAGCCAGCATCCAATCTCATCCCACTCTGTTTTACATCCTGAGAAGACAGAAAGATCAAGAGCTGCACAGCAAGCTGGGGTTAAAAGATATCAGCGCTCAAACACCCGAACCTGAGTGTCAGCACCATAAATATTCGAGATATTTTCATTTAAAAAAATGAAGGTTTGCACAGAATGGCATCTTGATCTGCAAGGTTTGTATCTCATCTTTTATTACATCTTCTCCCAGGGATCTTTTTCTCACAAAACCAACCACTTTTACCAGGTACTCTAATATAATGGGACTTATTAGAAAACAAAAGTAAAGCTTAAGTGTGGTTTTACACACACACACACACACACACACACACACACACACACACACACACACA